GGACCATGGGAAGGAAAGCCTAACCAGCCCTGCTCTAGGCCCTGTCTATGCCTGCTGAGTTGAGAAGGGGAGCTCGGAAAATACAAAATATGAGGAACTCCCTGCAGAGAGGCTAGAGACAAGACCCAGCCAGCTGAACCAGGAGCAGAACATCTTACCAGAGTGGCACAGCAAGTTCACTTCCAAGTGCTGCCGCAGGAATAAGTGGCGCACAGCAGCCAGAGCCAAGCCACACCCACCTGGACGAATTTGAACCTGGTAGATGCGGACTTGGTGCTAAGGTAATAACTACACCAAAGCTCTACACCAAAGGTCAGAAGACAGTGCTGTACAAAATGACAAAGAGAAGGAGAAAAATGCATTCTCAGGCCCCAAGGCCACCCAGAACAAATGCAGGAGACAACGGCATTTGTGTGGAAATTACACACCTGAAATCTCTGAAATAATAGTGTCTGAAGTAAAGAAACAGCTGCAGAAAGGTACTGACAAAATCAGATCAGAAATAATTTATGAAGTAAAGAAAGAAATAACTATAATGAAAGAAGTACTAAATGCTTTAAACAAGACACTGATAAAAAAATAGAGGAGAACAGAAAAATGATGGAATCCTTGAATTAGCAATATAGGAAAGAAATAGAATGCATGAAGCAGATTCAAAGTGCTATTCAGGAAATTAAAACCTCAATCACAAGCTGGCAAAACGGTTTGAATGAAAGTGAAAATAGACTTTCAGACCTTGAAGACACTGTTGCAGCTAGTGGAAAGGTAAGAAAAGATCTCTTAAAAACTAAGATGCAGGAAAAATAATTCCGCGTCAGCAAGACGATGCAAAGATGAACAATGTAAGACTAATAGGTATCAATGAGAAAGAAGGATACAAATGATATAAAATACAAATGATATAAAAAGAATATGGACAGAAGCAATAGTAGAAAACTTACCAAATATGGGGAAACAATCTGACATTCAGATAACCAAAGCATATAGAACTACAAATAACATCAACCCAATTAAAACCACACCCAGATGTATAATAATCAAAATCCCAGAAATTCAGCACAGGAATCATATACTAAAAGCCGCTAGAGAAAAGAAACATCACATTTAAAGGAAAACTGGGGGCCAGGGAGATGGCTCAGTGGAATAAGCGCTTCCCTGGCAAGCGCAAGGGCCTGAGTTCAATCCCCGGTTCTGCAAAAAAAAAAAAAAAAAAAAAGGAAAACCGATCAAAATAATGGCAGATTTCTTTTCACAAACCTCAAATCAAGAAGAGCATAGAACAAAGTACTTCAAGTCTTGCAAGAAAACAAATTCCAACCCAGACTGATATATTCTGTAAAATTTTCTTTCCAGTTTAATGGAGAAGTGAAATATTACTATGACAAAGAACAACTAAAGAATTTCATGAAAACAAAACCAACCCTACACAGACTATTAAAATATATTCTAGAAAGGGGTCAAAATGACCACAACTCCATGAATGAGAATGGAAAGAACCCACCAAATAGGGCAAACAATTAAACATAGGAGAAAAAGAGGTATACAAAAGCAATCTTTCAATTATTCTTTTGTACACAGCAGCAGAATATTTCCATCAGCATACTCTACAAATGGACTTCTCTTGCACCTTATGGGTCATGATTTTGTTTGGGTCTACAGGGTGGATATCAAGGAAATAGCAGTAACTCAGTCCCACAAGTGACATCTGGCCACCAGTAACTGTCATGGACACTGTCCACGTCCACCACATACTAGAACTTTGTGCAATATCCTATTCCCAAACTGTTAGAAGTGCAGATCATATATTTGTCATTCTAGTATTTCTGTTATGTTTTATTCTTAGTAACTCTTTACTACCATGAAAACTTTTTCTTAGTTGATATTTTTGTATATATTAACCTAATCAAATACTATGTGAGTACTCTGAATTGATCACAGATTCATACATATGATACACTACATTCTGGCTTCTTGGTTGGACTCACAATTTAATTTTAATCTTTGAATATGATTTTGAAATATTTAATTCTGAATTAATATATAATTTTCTGAATATTGTTTAATTTTAATTTTTTATGATTTATACTGTTTTTTGACTTACAATCAACTTATAAGACATGGTATACTTTCTCCTAGTATTAGAAACTTTAAACAGTGTATTTCCATTTTCCATCGACTTTATATTAGTTTTTGTCTTTTACACACACACACATATATATGAAAAAATATATATATAACCTGACATAACATTGATAACTGTTTTGTAGAAATCTTCAATGCCCCTTTAAATAGGTCATCTAATATAATTATATTTGGCACTCCTGCATAACTACCACTTTGAGAGTTTTTTATTCTTTATCCAGGATCATACAGCAACTTCTCTTGCCTTCTGTATTATGGTCTTTGTTATTTTCTATATGCTACGTCTGGAGGTATTAGAATATTTCAAGTTTGTATAACTGGAAAACATTTTACTTTTAGTTTTCAGAGGTATGTTTGCTAAACATACCCAAAGGAGCGAATTTTAGAAAAATATTTCTGAAATGAATACATGAGATTAATAATAGACATTGTAAAAAGTTATTTACAAATTTAAATGAACAACAAAAACTGTCTAAAATAAACATGAAGTCTTCTTTTTACAGATCAGTCATATAATAGTTCACTCTGTGTCAAAATCAAGAAACTCATTAAGATTCAATGAGGAGGGGCTGGAGAGATGGCTCAGTGGTCTAAAGCACCTACTTAGAACAAGCTTAGCTAAAGCACAGGGACCGCGGTTCAATCCCCCAGCACCACATGCCAATCAGCCCCGCCCCCTGGTGGGCTGAGCTGG